CGAGATCGTCGTGCTCGGAAATCTGGAAAAGATTATCCGCTATATTTATTCGCCGGATATTTTTCATTCGACTAGAGAATAATGCTTTTACAGAAAGTTCAAGATATAAGTGTTACATATATTAAAATATGTAATATATTGAAAAGCTGCATATTTATTTCATAAAGAAAACTTTCCAGCAAAAAAAAAAAAAAAAAATAGATAGACACAATGTCACGCGATTGGCTATTAAATAGATAATTTTTAAAGACCCCTAAAATTTTTCTATTTGACAGCTAATCATATGATATTTTGTTTATGTGTGTGTTTTGCTGGAAAGCTCCCATAGTTTTTGCGAATGATTGTTATTGCTATTTTTTTTCAAACAACAATTCTTTGTTACTATTACTACTGTGACTGTGTCATTATTTTCTAATCCAATAGGGATCGGAATCCCCGTGAATCTCGATGGTTCCCCGGGCTCGGCGAAGCGTTCGGTCTCGCGACATTAATCCGCGAAGAAGCGTTTCCTCTGGCGGATGCTGCACGCTTTCGTCGGTGCAGCAACGCGGGCGGCATTCGAATTGTGCTGCTAAGGCGACTGACGCCGGCAAAAGAAAGAATTCAACAGGGGGAGAAGGGAGGAGGGGAGGTTTGCGGTTCTCTCGCGGCGCAACTAAGGTTACCCCGAGACAGGTCAGTTACACCGCGAAAACGTACACCGTTGTCCTCGACACGATACATTGGGCATCGAACCACAGGAATCAGTTCATCGCGGCTTGCGAAAAGGAGAGGCTCAATGTCGGCCGTTGTGTGTGTCACGGGAAAGGAAGGAGTGCCCGGTCTCGGTACGAGGAACGAGCCTTTAGGAAGTGCGAAGGAAGGAGCGCTCGACGCTCTGATCCCCCAACTACCTGTAACTACCTGTAATAACCTGCCTGCTTTTCTCGCAACACTTTAACGTTCGGATGAGACGGACTTTCGTGCCTGTCTGCCGTTAGCGAAGAGTCGGTTTGCCTGTGACCGCGAAACGATCGAGAACGTCGATTCAGGATGACATTTTTTTAAAATTAAAATTAAAAAATCTTTGATTTAATTTAATTTTAATTAAAAAAAGAATCTTTTTTCAATTTAAAATTAATTGCGCTCATCACGCTTGTCTTAAAATTCGATTCTCTCTTATAATATTATATATAAATAATATAAATATTATATTACTGCGATACGACGCGTTAACGACTGTGCACATCGACTCATTCGCGAAGAAAATATTTTTGCTGGGAGAACAACATCTCTAGTTATTTGATATAACCGAAAATTTGAAAGCGAGAGCTGATTCTAATAATTTATGAGACATCATTATGTGCATATTTGCGTCGCATATTTTTGTATAATCAAAAAACGAGCTAATTGTTTCTGGAAATGAGAATAACGCGATGCATACCACTGTGTCCCGCTCAATCGCATATATTTCTATAGAAGATGGAATGAACATCGAGTCTGTGGTAAATCGATCAGAAGCGAGAATCACGCATTTATCCCCGGCAACGATTAGCGACAGTTTAAGCGAAACGCGCCGCTGTCAGCTGACGGCAGATCGAATCCCACTCGGATGCGAACGAGAGGATGCATCCTCTCGTTTCGCTAACCACCCTGGCGACTTTTCCTCGACGCGAACATCTCCTCCTCGCCTGCCTACCAACCTCTATCCAACCTACCTACCTACCTACCGTGCCGACGACCATCCATGGCTTTCTTTTTCCGTTCCCCCTCTCCATCTTGCACCCCGTGGTCTCTTTGAGCCCGATGCCCGCCGCACAATTTGCGCTCACAGGCCTAATGCTTCCCGGCATTATGCTAATTCCTTCCATTGGGGGCTCTCCCCGAGATATTTGCGCAATTGAAGACTGGTGCCGCGCGTGAAGACGCGCTCGTGACCGCCTTTCTTCGTCTACGTCGTTTCTTTCTCTCTCGCGCTTCTCTCATTGCTCTTGCTTAATTGCCCCGGCACGACATCGCTCGTCAAAACGTGGCGGTCGCCCGCTTTCGTTCACGCTATTGTGCTAATTTACGATTTATGTAAAGTCGTTGCTCGGAGAGATAGCGAGGCTCTTTACTTCGGATTCGTATCAGCACGATAACGATGACATTGTATATTGAAATATATTTTTATTCAACTTTCTCTCTGTACACGATGTCGTTTTCACTGTTTGGCTAATTATTATGGGCAAAAATGTTACGCGTTGTTAAATAATTATGGAATTTGTATACTTACGTGTACCTTTTAATGCTCACCAGTTAGTTTAAATATATCGGCGGCGCATTTTATCGACCTCAAATTCTCGTGTCTCGCCGACAATTGCGTTTCCTAAGGCTCGTTGCGTTCGTTATGTAGAATATCATCATACGGCGAGTCGGTTTTACTGAAAATCTCTTCCTACCCTCTTCGCGATATGCGCTCCTCTCCAGCATTGGGTGCATATTGTGCGGAACGGATCGAAGAGGCGTGACTCTCTCTCTCCCTTTCTCTCTTGCGGTGCAAGCGAGATTTAAAAGATGTTCCACACGGAACAGAGACGTTCCCGGTGGTCGTGACAGCGACTTCAGGGAAGAGGACTGGTTCTCTCTCTTTTTCTCGTTGATGCGAGAGCCCGGTTACGTAGCCCCGAGGGGTTCGGACGTCGTGCTCGACGTACAACGTTGGCGCGAGCCTCGCTTATTATCATATCCGGACGTTTCCTAGACCCGAAGGAAAACCTCTCGCGAGCCCATCTCCTCTCTCTCCTCTCCCCATCTCCTCTTTTTCTCTCGCTTTAGCCGGGGATCCAGAAAACAATCTTTCGCATGCCTCTCGAAATTCTAAGCGCTCGCCGCTCGCGCGCTCGTAAAACGTGCCGATGGAACGTGACGTGTCGACGGCTGTGTTTCGCTCGCGGATGACTGAAGTTAAAGGCGGCTCGTTAGTCTCAACTGGGGATACTTATCCGGGAATCCGGCCCCAGCGATTTTCGCATCCTGGTTAATGCCGATGCGATGATATGCGCATTGCGCCAGATATACATACACAGCGAACATTGTTTCGGATCATCCGTCGACTTTCGTGTAACTTTCAGAGTTGTATTACAAGAGAATAAAAGGGATAGGAAAATTTTTATATACCGCTGCAAACTGCTCTCGATTAACTCCGAGTTCTCTAGTAAAGAGATAATATAATTATTTTTATTTTACTTTATGCAAAATTTTTCAAAAATTTTTATTAATAAATATAAAATATAAATAATTTTGAAAAATTTTGCATATAAAGATACTCTACCTCTACAGTGATAATTTGAGGCGTAACATCAAGACATTAGAGAAGCACATAAAATCTGTAAGTAAAAGAAAGAATATTTTCTATATCATAAAATACCTTATTCTTTCCATCGTATAAAATGATTTGCGTCTATATTAATTTTCTTTGCTAAAATTCGCGAGAGAGAGAGAGAGAGAGAGAGAGAGAGAGAGAGAGAGAGAGAGAGAGAATGTGTAACTGACTTGGGAAGCGTAACGTAATTTATCGCTCCCATCCTTGAATATTCTCCGGGCATGTGCATATCTATGTTTACATACTTTATACGCAGTCCAACGTGGACATGGTGGACATTAACGAACGCTTAACGAAGACTCGCATTATTTGTCGACGAGCGAATTCCCGTGGCTCGACTTTGTTCGAGGGCTTCTCGCGCGATACCGCGGTACGAGTAAATAAATCGCGGCGTTGTAAACTAGGCTAGATGAGCAAGAAGAGGCCGCTTTGATGACTACTTTTCCTCGACGAGCGTCGGGCTCGCTCATTCCCTCGCGAAAGCCGCCGAATCATCTCCCGCGTACGAGTATACTCGTCTAATGTTTTTCTTGATGCGAGGCAAGCAAGCGAGCAAGCAAGCAAGCTTACACTGTTCAATCTCTACCGACGGAAAATATCGCTGAGAGGATACGCACAAACGATGCTGCGTCACTCTTTTCCTCTCTCGCCTTCTTTGTGAATGCTGCGTGTGTCTCCGCCAGATATCAAGAGAAAGAGAGGGAGAAAGAGATAGAGAAAGAGCACGACTACTTCCTCCCCACCTTCGTCAAGGGTTAAGCAAATATTAGCATTTTACTAGTTAGCAGCTGCATTGTCATCCCCGTTCGCGGAGAGAGCCGGGACTTGCGTTTTGTCATTTTGTATCCTACCGTTCTGCGCTCTTCGATCGTTTGCCTTTATGTCTACGACATAAGCATTATGACGTTATCCCGGGGATAACGAAGAGGAAGGCCATCTTCTCCTAGCGCCGCGCTCTACGTCTATTTTATCTCCGTAATTTTCCTTTCACATGTCACCGGTCGTCGTAAGCGCGCGCACTATTACGAGGTAACGCGCCTGTTTAAGGTGCAAGGTCGCAAGGCGCTGTTAATGCATTCTTAACGCCTAGCGCGAACGCGAAAAAAAAAAACGCGCCTGTTTATTCTAGCGATTGTCGTAATAGTGTTGGTGCCGGCCTTTTGACTCGCGCGACTACTCGGTGACGTTCTGTTGAAGAAAAGTTTTTCTGGACGGCCGCGATAATTCTCGCTTCGCAAGAGCGTCTTGTTGTTGTTAGAACCCGCCGTCGTCGAAAATGACACTGACGCAATTTTTACGTCAACTTGGCCGTTATTTTGATAATAGCATCTGTCTGTCAATCGAGAACAATTTTGTGCTGTTTCTAAATTCAATGTTTTCATCGATACGATCGACGATAGTCAACTTTTCACTGGTAAATGTTTATCATTTTTTTTTTTTTTTTTTAAAAGCGAAAGGAATAAGTATTGACGGAAATTTGAAAAATTTGATAAGATAAAATGCAATTGTCAAATTTCTTTAAATTTAAGATTCAAATAAGCTGAATGTTTTTAATTAGAAAAATAAGAGATAGGGATCTTAATTAATCGAGATCGATGATGGTCAATTTTTCTAATTTTTCTCGTATTTTTTTTTTATTTTAAAAGCGGAAGGAATAAATATTGACGGGAATTTGAAAAATATGATAAGATAAACTGCAACTGTCACTTTCTTTAAATTTAAGATTAGAATAAGTTAAATTTTTTCAACTTTTCAAAAAAAAAAAAAAAAAAAAAGAGATGGGAATCTTAATCAATCGAGATCTATGTACGTGTCGTATGAATAATGCGTTATTGAATGTAAAATTACCAATAGCAACAATTTTCCTTTTGACGATGGAGCGCGATACGAAGCGATCCCGATGATGCAAAGTCAGCCGCGCTAACCGCACGCCTCTCTAGATCAAAGATCTAGGAATGTGCCGGCGATGATCGCCCCCGGGAGAAATCGGTTTATCACTTTCGCCGATAATTACGAGTCCGAGCCGTCTGCCGATGTTAGCGGTAATTGCCTGGCGTGGACGAGAGAAAAAAAGAATTAAAAAAAGAGAGAGAGAGAAGAGGGGGCTTCGCGGCGAAGGCGACCAGTGACAATGCAGTCAGAGATGCGGTTTCTTTCGCTTTTTGCAGCTCGGTTTGCGTCGGTGCTCACCGACCGACCGCCTCGCCCTTTTCGCTTTTTGCTCGATCGGGTGCGCACCCAGGGAGACCTTGATCGGACGGACGCGATGGCGCAGAACGGGTCTGCGGGCATTATCAATCACCGGCCTTAATGGTAGCCTCAAATACATCCTCGCTATCTAGCCGATCCTCCCTTTAGCATCGCGGATGAGCGACTTTCGCGCAAACATCGCTGTATGAGTCGTCAAGCGAAGTGCTGGTGGAAGCATCTCTAAGTAAAAATTAAGCTTCAAGCACATGTAGATGGAGACAAGATGGCAATGCCAGATATACATTTGGGCGTAATAAATCTTACGCTTTGATTATATAAACAGATGAGAGACATGAATAAATAATGCGAAATTAATTAAATAATAACGTAAATAGATGAACGATTTATATAAGTAATTAAATTATCACGTAAGAAAAATAAACGTGTTTTTTTTATATGGACGAGAAGAATTTTAAATATAATCACACACACATATAAACATAAATTATACGGTTTATAACGCATATATATTTTTATATTTTCCTAAATAAGTCCGATTATATAATTTTGCGAATTTGCATCTTGTCTCATATTTATTTCGTATCAATTTTCAAACACGACTGCCTTGATATATCGAAAAATAAAAAATTGTGAAAAATAACAATTAATTACATTTATATCAGAATGTAAAATCTACTTTACATTGTTCAAAAGAAATCCGCGATATTCTTCCACAGTCACATCCAGCGAATTTATTTCACTACATCGCGCGATCGCGATATGTTAATTTTATTATTTCCCCGCAGATTTCATCGCTGATGTCATACTAGAGAAAAAAAAAAAAGGGAGAAGCGCGATAGATCGTGAGATATCGTTAGTATACAAACTTCGTAACACTCACGATGTATTCCACAACGGAAGCGATGTCGTTTTTCTGCGCCCACGTGTACACGGTATGCACACACAAGTCGGCATGCGTGCGTGCGTGCGTGCGCGCGGCCTCCATTAAGTCTTTAAGCAGCGGGAAGGCATGAAACTATGAATTAGTGCGTACGGGCGGGTGGGGAGGGGAGGTGAGGGAGAGGAAAGGGGGGAAAGTCTTAACGGGGGCCCAGCGGTAATTCCGTGGCAACGCCACTTGCCACACGGGGCCGGTTAATGGATTTGCAAAGCGCCAATTATATTTCCGATGGAGCGGGAAGAGGCAAACATGAGCGAAGGGAAGATAGATAAAGAGAGAGAGAGAGAGAGAGAGAAAGAGAGAAAGAGACAAGAGGTGGTGGCCTTTAGGCGCATTTGCGAGAGCGATGTTGCGTTGCTCTGTGCGGTCCCGGTAGCGTGCCCGAGCTCTCTTCGTGGGAAAACCAGCAATTTCTCATGACGCGCGCGTTTCTAAAGAAGGGGGAGGAAGAGGGAGATGGTACACAACACTCGATCGACCGGCCCTCCCTCTCAATGAGACGCGCATTCCGATCCGCTTTGATATATTTATCTATCGCTTCTCCCATCTCTCGCTCTTTATCGCCCCGTCCGCATCGCCTCCTTCTTTCACTTCACCGGGATAAGACTATGGTCGCTCTGATCGCCGTCGCCGTCGCCTCGTTCCGATACGTCTCTCGGGGTCTATCCTTTAAAGAATCCGCCGGCCACTCTCAACCTTCGATTGCGCGCGTTTTATAGTCGTATATGTATATGAAGCGTCGAGAATCACGCAGCTGCTGGTGACGCTCGTGTAATAAAAGTGAATTATAGCGATAGTTCGAATCAGTCAGAGGACCTTCCGCCAATTTTTGCAACGATCGTTTAATTAGTGCGATGCTTGCCCTTTATAGAGCAATACTACGCGGTAAGAAAGTACAATAAAAAAATTAGGGATTAAGTCGACGAAAATATCTATATAAATAATATGGACCTAAAAACAGTGATGTTAAAGGCTAGTCCTGTGTAAAAACGTTGAAAATCGTATGCTATGCTTGCAAAATAAAATTGAATTAATTTTATATATAATTATGTTTATAGTCCATTTTTATAAGAAATTTTATGTGGTTTAATAAAAAAAACTTGCTAGTTGTAATCTCATCTGCTGCACGATTATTGCGTGTGATATTTAAACAATAAATATATTTATTTATACTTTTATAAAATATATTTACATATGTGATTCAGCCAACTTTTGTTACGCTTTCACCGACATAAACGGCAATATCGCAATAATTGAGATATCTAAAATCAACGTAATTTTACACAGAATAACTCTTTTAATAATCATGAATTTTGGGACATGTTCTCTTGCGGCAGTTCTTTGACCCATCGACTTTCACTCGTAACACAGTGGCCGTAAAGTCAGTCTCTAACGAGCATATGTGAGTTACATAACATCGTCGAATGTTCGCGGCGAAGGCAACTCTTGACCTATTTACAATAACTCGTTCGTATCTTCTTCTTTGACATCAAAATTCGCATTTCGATCTGGGTCATTATTCAAAATAATCCTCTCTTTTTATAGGATAATTTAAATATGTCCCATTATAATAGAGACATGACACAAAATAAAATAAGAATCTGTGTAGCAGATCCTAAATATGTAATTCTAAATAAAAAAAATCTTAAGTGATTAAAATTAAAATTTTAAGGATTTTCTTAAATTATTAATCTTAAGAGCTTAAAAGTTTAAAATCTTAAAAGTTTAAAAGCTTAAAATCTCAATCAGATTACATATACGTATAATAAAAGTAAAATAATATACATAAAACTACTTTTTATTTGCAAAGTTAATGGCACTTTTAAAGACGAATATTTTTCCCTTTATATCTT